GCGGTTTTTTAAAAATGTGATTGTATTGTACTATGATACAACCGTTGCGTGAGATCACTGCTTAATAGGAGACAGAAAGACCCATAGAGCTAAATAAAATAGTGCCACACAAGCTAAATCTTGTGTATTGATTAACTATTTCTCTTGCAATTATTGTAAAAACAAATACTCAAATCCCATACTAATGGCATGAATTACATTTATAGGATATGTTTGTACATGATCCCTCTGCAAAAGAACAGGGTGGACTCTCTGTTGGAGTTCCAGGTGAAATTTTAGGTCTATATGAGGCTTGGAAGGCTTATGGCAGGCTCCCATGGTATAGACTTGTGAAACCTGCAATTGCAATAGCAAGATACGGATACGAGATAGATCGTTTTCTATATTTTCAAATGAAAAATACAGAGGAGGCAATACGCAAAGACGAGGGTTTAAGAGAGGTGTTCATGGTGAATGGGACACTGTTGAAGGTTGGAGATATATGTCGTGATATTAAACTTGCAAATACATTGGAGAAGATTGCATTTTTCGGGGCGTCAGTGTTTTATTACGGTCCCCTAGGGGCCGATTTGATTCATGATATCCAAGAGAAAGGAGGGATAATCACAGTGGAAGACTTAAAAGGTTATAAGATTAGACACACGAAACCAATTTCTGCAAAGGTCATGAATCACGAGATTATTACCATGCCTGTGCCCGCTGGAGGTGTTGGGATGATAATGGTGCGTATTTCTTCTCAATTCACCATGACAAACTCTCTCGCACCCACACTCTCACTCATATGTTCAATTTATCCATCTCTAACTAGGGGTTTCATTAAAATGGAAACCCTACTATATCCTTCATATGAATTATATGGGTCCCCCTCTCACATTCGTCCAATCAAAATGGACCATCAAACCCTTCAGCCATAATATAACTAGTTGGTCTCTGATTGTTTAATCTCGATTGGACAGTTAAGAGTATTTTAACTATAATTATTTTTTCTACATCATTTTGACAGGCCTAGGCCTATTATTAGAGGGGCTCACCTAAAAAATACAAAAAAAAATGGTTATTACAAAAAGGATTATACACAATGAAACCATCTTTAATACAAGATGGTCACAATTTCTTACAATCATTTGATTTGAAATTTGATAGCTTGGATGTGTCACAAAGTTTGAAAAATTTGTTTTCGAATTTTGAGTTTGGTCAATAGAATAAATGTAGCCATCCAATGGTCAAGATTAATGTGACCACCTTGTATCAAAGGTAAATGATATCATAATATGCTTTCCCTTTACAAAATAAGATGACCAAAATACATATACAAATTACCAAAATATACCTAAAAGGATTTTGGTCTTTTTATTCTATAAAAAACAGTTTTTATATTCTTTGCCTATCCCACTATGAGAATAGGGATGCCCCAATTTCATGTTAAGATAACGTATAAAGATTAAAAACAAAAAAAAACAAATAGTGTTGCATATGACGAATTATCATAGCTGTCCATTCAAATCATACAACTGAGATTTGGATACATATAAAAGTGCATCCTTGTGATTTCCAAGAGAGACTCATATGCAAATCTTCCCACTTCAAATAAATATATTTCAATTTTCCTGTGTCTGTTTACTTTTTGCGAAGTGCATGAGAAGGTGATTAAAAAGTCTAATCTGTGTTATAGGTTTTGAATGTACTTGCTCAATATAGAAGTGCTCAAGCCCTTACCGGTCCCCTTGGACTCCACCGAATGGTTGAAGCAATGAAGCACATGTTTTCAGCAAGAATGAACCTGGGTGACCCAGACTTTGTGGAAATTGAGGATGTTGTCTCTAAAATGCTCTCCCAAAGCTTTGCAAGAGAAATAAAGGATAGAATAAACGATAGCACAACTTTTGATCCTAGCTACTATCTTGATAGGTGCAAATAACTCTTAAAGCTTTTACATTCCACAAAAGTTAAAGAATTACATTCAAGCGCTTATCCCCTAGATAGCATCACCCCAGTGTGATACTTACCAGTGGGGTTTTTCAATTTTATTTAACATGAATTTTAACTAGCACTCATGTTGTCAAATATTTTCAGATAGGGAAATTTCACTTTATTTTTTATGTAAGTTAAGACATAGGTTGTAATGGGCAAGGCAGCCTAGCCCAAAACATCCATGTTTAGATCTCAAATTCTAGGTCTGCTGTCCACAGGCCTGGGCATGCCCCAACCTGGTCCGAACCCATTAAGGGATCCGAGCCTGAGCACCTCGAAAGAAGGGCCGAAGTCGGCCATGGCCTCTTAGGGTTGGCTTTTTTGGGTCCAATGCCCCAACTCAGCTTGGCCCTGCCTATGCCACCTTTAATCTAATTGCATAAAACAACGATATGTGTTTAACATGAAATCATTTGGATTTGTAGAAAAAATGTTAAAATTCAATTACGAAATACAATTGTGATCATTGGATCCGTCGAGATTCAATCTGGGCCATTGGGCTTACACTGTTCCCTGAGCCCATGGGCTGTCAAGAGCTTTTTCCTATATATATATATATATATATATAT